ATTTACCTGATTAGTCATCTGGAGCGACGGATCTAGGAGCACCCCTAGACTGTGAACACAGTCCTTGGAGGAGAGTGTGACCCCTTCTAGGACTGGAAGTTGTATCCCAATACCTGGTTTCGGGGCCACTACTGTGAGTACCTCCATTTTGTCTGGATTCAGTCTCAATCTGTTTTTCCTCATCCAGTCCATTACTGCCTTAAGACAGTCATTGAGAGGAGAGATGCCATCTGAAGTCAGAGCTGAGGACCGAGACATGGAGAAATATATCTGGGTGTCATCAGCATACTGATAACATCGCACCCCATGTCTCCGGATGATCTCTTCCAGTGGCTTCATATATATATTAAATAGCATAGGGGACAGAATGGCACCTTGTAGGACACTACAATTAAGTTTTCTTGTAGAGCAACTGTCTCCAAGCATCACCCTCCGGGTTCTGCCCGAGAGGAAGGAATTGCAATACAGTGGCTCCAATTCCTAACCTTCTCAGACGATCCAGGAGGATGATATGGTCTATTGTATCAAAAGCCACTGAGAGGTCCAGTAGCACCAGCAGGGTCACACTACCCCTGTTGATGCCCAGACGAAGGTCATCAGCCAAGGCAACCATGGCAGTCTCAACTCCATATCCTGTCCTAAAGCCAGTTTGAAATGGATCTAGATAATCGACTTCTTCCAAGACAGCTTGGAGTTGAAGAGCAGCCGCCCTCTCGATCACTCTGCCGAGGAAAGGTAACAGAGAGACTGGCCTATAGCTGTTCATGTCCAGGGGTCCAGGGAAGATTTTTTCAGAAGCGGCCTAACCACCGCTTCCTTCAAATAGGATGGAACGTAACCTTCCCTAAGGGATGCACTGATAATGTTCCTAAGGAACATCCTCAAGGCATCTCCCCCTGGATGGCCAGCCACAAAGGGAAGGATCAAGAGGACAGGTAGTTTTCCTCACTCTACCAAGGAGCTTGTCCACGTCATTGGTACTTACATGTTGAAGCTGATCCAGTATAATTTCATCAATGGAGTTGCTGGATATCTCGTCAATTGATTCTGTTGCAACACTGGCATCTAAGTTGGCTCTTATCTGAGAGATTTTATCTGTGAAGCATTACATGTTTCCCTAATACAATTCCCCTTTGCAACCACTTTCATAGTATCCCATAGTACAGCTTGAAAAACCTGTCTATTATTGATATCCCACATATTTTGCCATTCTTTCTCAATCTTACTCACTATGGGCCAATGCAAATGGCCCATATGGAGT